CAAAGAAATTAGTTCCATTACTTTTCAACTTGGCCTCAGGCAAGCTCTTAGGCTGTGTCCAGATGCTTTCCCAAATGCTTTCCCAAAATATCCCAATTGCTACTTAAGTCCTTATCTGGAACTACTTTGCTCTCAGCATTACTTCCTTCCAGGCTCCTCCTATAGCAGCCTGTTAAGCTCTGCTTTACAGCATTCAATAGTTTTTCTAGTTCAAATTTCCAAAGTCTTCCATATTTCTCCCAAAACCTACATGGTCAGATTTTTCACTGCAACAGCCTACTCCTGGTAACAACTTCTGCATTCATTATATTTCTGTTGCTGTGATAGAATACTATGACCAAGGCAACTTACAGAAGGAAGAGTTTATTTAGTTTACGATTCCAGAGGGATTAGAGTCCATAATGGAAGAGGGGCATGGTGGCCAGAGGCAGAGGTGACCAGAGCAGAAAGACAAGTGACCACATCTTTAAGCAGGGACAGGAAGCAGAGAGCAACTGGCATCTGGCAAGGCTTAAGGACTCTCAAAGCCTGCCTCCAGGGATGTTCTTCTTCCAGCAAAGCCACATCCCCTAAAACCTCCCCAGTGTCACCAACTGGGGACAAAATGCACCACAACTAGCGTCCCCAACCCAGTCTAACTTGGAACCCTGAGAAAAGGCCTAAGAGCTTTCTAACTCACTCTGATGCTCTTGTGATTCCCACCACCAATACCTCCATTTAAATCATCCAATAAATATAAGACCCCAGATCAAAGGGGTTTAGTTGACTCCTAATAAGAGAAATAAGACCAGCAATAAGACATTACTTATTTCTGTTTAATTGCAGTACCATCATTCCAAAACCAACGTCCTTTGTTTCTCCTATGAAAAATACATCCTAACTATTCATAGTTTAAATCAGTTTAAAAAAAATCAGTGGAGGGGGGCTAAAGAGATGGCTCAGCGTTAAGAACACTGGTTGTTCTTACAGAAGACCTGGGTTCGAATCTCAGCACCCACATGGCAGCTAACAACTGTCCATAACTCCAGTCCCAGGGGATCTGACAGCCTCTTCTGATCTCCGTGGGCAATGCACGACATGGGTGCATTTACCTACATGCAGGAAATACATGCATACACATAAAATAAAAATAATAATATTTTTTAAATCTGATCTCCGTGGGCAATGCACGACATGGGTGCACTTACCTACATGCAAGCAATACATGCATACACATAATAAAAATAATAAAATTTTTTTTAAAATCTGGAGGAATCCAACTAATTTATATTTCCTCTATTGAGAAAGCATTATTTATCAATTGTTTGTACAATTTAGCTGTATTCAAAACAGTATCCTCAGTGAACCTAATTATTCTAACTTTCCAAATAACTATTTATCAACTTTGGAACCTAATTATTGCCTTTTGAGAGAGACTTCCTGTACTTCAATGCTATTAACAATAGAGGCCAATAGGCCTAACAGATTGCAGAAGGAAGATAAGGTTACATATGGGCAAACACTAACAGGGGTTCTTTTTAAGCATTATAGATATAGTATGCACACTATTTGTGCTAAAGGAAAACAACTGTAAATTATTCATATGTGTTTCCAGCCCCAAGAAGATATTCCACAATGAAGAGATGCTGCCCACTAAGATGCAGAGACAGGCTCTCATCCTCCTTTAGTCTCTTTTGGGGGGGGCAATTTTAATTAATATGATCATTTATTTATATGACAATCTTTTCCATATAAACAATATAAAAACATAAGCACTGTAAACAATATACATACATATAGTTCTATATAATGTTTTCAGAACACCAAAGATTTTGTAGCACTTGTCGGTTTTAGGTTATTCTACTGTTTAGGTCACATTTTAATAACATTAGCAATCTTTACTCTGAAATTTTTACTTTAAAATTTTTTCTATTGAATTTTTGTGTTATCTCATATACAATATCTTAATCTCTTTATACCTCCTTTGCCATTGGCACCCTCCCATATCCTCCCCACTGGATTTCATGCGTTCTGTCTTTTATGCTAAGGCCTATCAAGTCAAGTTAGCATCCCCTGATGTCCTTCAGTGTATATTCATCCATTGGGGTAAAGGTAGTCTATCTAGAGTCACTCCCTTAAAGATTAGTTCTTCCTCAAATTTTTACTTTTAGTCATGATTGTTTTAAAATTGTATTTATTATTTTTTATTTTATGTGTATTAAGTGTATTGCCTGCATGTATGTGAGTGCACTCCTGTCATGCAATGCCATGGAGGTCAGAAGAGGGCTTCTCCCTGGAACTGGAGTTAAGGATGGTTCGTGGCCACCATATGGGTGCTGGGAATCAAACCTGGGTCCTCTGCAAGAGCAGTCAGTGCTCTTAACTGCTGAGCCATCTCTCCAGCCCCATAAAGTCATGATTTTTTAATGAAAAATAGAAGACCTTAAATCTTAAAGCCTAAACTGATAATTGATAAGACTTTAAGGAAGCTGAGCAAAACCATTTTTTTTATAGTTGAGAAAAATGATAGTTTATTCATTCATTAGTTGTAGAGCCCATACTGAGACCTGAAACTTGTTAATCTTGAGCACACAAATCAATATAGATTGGATTCCTGACTCCAGGAGTCTTATGATGCTTTCAGATACCAGAACATATTGGATGAACCAAAATATGGTGATGTCAGAGGCTCAGAGCTTCCATAGTTTAATATTGTTGACAATGAGGAGGGAGCTCAGGTAAGAACATCAGGACTACCCTTCAGTCTCATTTTTCTAAGAGTGTCTCTTTAAGATTACTTGTCACACTTTTATATCTGCCACTATAATTAATCGTTCTCTGCTGTTCTTGCTACTCTAGGTTTGGCAGTTGGAATTTCATTACTAGATAAGCCTGTTTTGATTTAGATACAAGCAAGGTAATTACTAAATTCATAATAAAGAGGTTATTCATGGTCAAGGTGATGATGCACCCTTGCCTTGTACGTGCTGAGCAATTCATGATCACTGTAGAAGAGCTGATACAAACCTTGGACAGATACTCAAATCCTTCTGGATTTTGATATTTAGGAGCTTTTTGGTTTGTATTTTGTATGTGTCAATATTTTTGGAAGCACAACACACTTCAGGAATACTGTCTGATAGTCCTATAATTTCCATGTAACATTAGGAACAATTTGTAAGGAAGGAAGCAGCAAGACACAAATGAAACAAAGCTTGGCTATGTTTCCTTCTGAGGGTTTTGTTGCCTCAGTTTCCTAGAGTCACCCATCTGATGTGACGAGTGGGTACAGACACCTTTTCTAAAGGAATCTGGCATATTGCTACATGCCATTCCCCAAACTTAAACAGTAGGCTTCCTAGATTAATCTACTCTCAGTCAAATGGCATGGTGCAATAACTTCTAAAACAGCATATGGTAAATCATGGAGACATTATGGATTTGAATCTATTTTAAAATCTACACTAATAATGTTTACAATTAAGTGTAAAGAAAGAGGGAATCTGGTAACTAAAATTCATTCCAAACTCCACCACTGATGTCTTCAAGCTGGACAAAGGAACCCCCAAATGAGCACGATTTCTCACAAAAACAAGAGGCAAGCATTATTGCTTTTATGCCCTAGGGGATTATCGCACAGTGCTGGGCAAGAGGTCAATGCTCAGTAAAACAATTTAAAGAAAGCTGTTCCTGCTAACATTCCTCTGTAGTTTTTTTCTATATTTAGTTTGGGTTTTCTTTTTTAGTTTGGCAGGAGGAGTTACCATGGGAAAGAATTAAGGAAATTATAGGTGAATTCGAAAGGACCTCTATCTAGGACAGAAATTAACTAGTTCAATGAAGAATCTAGAAATGAATAATCATAAGAATGAACTAGAGGGACAAGACAGCCTCCCTCCCCTCAGGAAGCACAAAAATAAGAACAGAAATAACCACCTTAGAAGAACCCTCAGCCACATCCCCTGCACTGGCTCACGTTTCCCGAACAAGACAAAATGTCATTTTCTACTCCATCATCTTTAGAAGAATAAAGTGGGCATATCTCTCACATTGCTCATCTTTGAAAACTAACACTGATTTGCATACAATAATTATTTACTTAATTAACAGGCTCTCAACTAGATTGTCCTTTCAATCCTTAACACACTGAAAATTATATGAGTTCCTTTCAAAGGAAAGAAATATTCCCAGAATAGAATCTACTACTTACAGCAGGACATACTGAGGCAATTTCCCACCTGGCTTCTACAGTGAGAGCTAAACTGATTCAAGGGGCTGGAGAGATGGCTCAGTGGTTAAGAGCACTGGCTGTGCTTGCAGAGGACCCAGGTTCAGTTCCCAGTATCCACATGATAGCTAACAATAGTCCTAAATTCTAGTTCCAGGGGATCTAGAGTCCTCTTCTGACCTCCACAGGCATTGTGTGCACTTACATACATGCAGGCAATACACTCATACACGTAAAAAATAAACAAATATTTTAAACTAGTCGAAGAGCTACAAAACGTGAAATACCACAGATTGTATCTATCACTGAAAACCCAGGAAATTGTAAATGTAGGTTATCCATAAAGCCAGTATCTTAAGTAAAATTCTTAAAAGTAACAAAAAAGGGAAGTTACAGAAAAGCAGCATATTCCCCCACAGACCTGGAAGTTGGCCTTAAAAAAAAAAGCACAGTATTTAGGGTTACAAATGCTTTATTTAATAGGCTAGCTGAGGCACATCAAAATTTAATGCCTCTGCTACATTAAGAACTTTCCCCTGTGGTTCAGGAACTACAAAATCCAAACCAACTGATTCATTTATGAATAAAGAGAATTTCTGAAATGAATTTAATGGAATATAACAAGTTCTAAATCCAACACCCTCTTTTTTTCTTCCTTCTGTCCACAAAATGATTCAAATGTCAAAAGGGATAAAGTGAGCGGACGTAGGAAGCAGATGAACTTCAAAACAAAACACACAAAGCTCTGGGGCAGCAGGTAAAGAATCCCGGGGACTGGCTGCCAACCACTCACCAGATGTCAGACTTTGTGTCACAGCCTTGGTGCTTCAGAGCCTCAGGACTCATATAAAGCGGAGTTCCAGTTAAAGTTGTCGCCAGCTCACAGGATCCCATTAGAAGTCGAGAAACTCCAAAATCCCCTTGAAATTGCAATTTATTTGTGTAAATAATTTGAAGCAACAAAAACATCATTGGAAATTAACAAATGAAATAATTTAATTTGATTATCTTATGCAATATTTCATATCATTTTAAAAGAAAAGAAAATTGATGTTTTAAATTATATAATAGTGGTTAAGTAGCTTGAGTTTTATAAGAGAAAGACAACTTTGAACCAAGAGAGTGTATTCTATGACCTGAGATTATCTCTCCCTTCCCTAAGAACGCTCTATGTGATGCTCAATACAGTCCCAAAGAGTTAAACATTAATAAAGTCATTATATCAGCAATTATTGTTTGAGATAAAACAAGTGAAGCATCTATAGCAACTAACGAAGCCAGTGAAACGAGCCAACCTCTTGCAAAGCACTTAAAAAAGAGCAGAAACAAAAGCACCTTTAAATCAACCAACCATATAACCAATGTTTTATATCTCAGTCTATAGCAAGTAATCACAAACAAGTTAACTGGGTTTTGTCAGTCTCACCCAGCTAAGAACAAAACTTTGAGTAATTGAAAGAAACCTGGTGCTGGATTATTTTAACACTACCTTGTACTGTGTACTTTAACTTGATTAGATAACATCTGCCCATGGTTTTGGGATATGTATTTTTTTTCTTAAAATCTTACCAATTTTAAGTAGATTATTTTTCAGAAATATATTCTTTGATTTCAAGTCTCGATGGAGTATTCGCCTACAAAAAGAAAAAAATGATAGAAAACTTCATACAAAATATAAAAAAATTAAACCTAATTTGAAATAGTAAGATTATGTGTGAAGGGAATCATAAATAAATATGCACTTCCAAAGATGCATCTTTCTTTGTTTAAAAGCTGCAAAACCATAAGCATTTTCTAGATTCTCTGAGGAAATAAGAGTTTGAAAATGTGATGGTTTGAATGAGAAACCACACATTTGAACACTGTCCCTAGTTGGTAGCACTGTTTGGGAAGGTTTAGCGGGTGTGGCCTTACTGGAGGAAGTATGTCACCCACGGGGGGTGGGGGGCACGAGGACAACAACACTTCCAGTCTGCTCTCTCTGCTTGGGTTTGCTGTAGAAGATGTGAGCTCCCAGCTTTTGGCTCCTGCCGCCATGCCTGCCTTTTGCTGCCATGCCTCCCTACCATGAGGGCCTCTCCCTCTGAAACTGCAGGCCAAAATAAATCTTTCTTCAAGTTGTCTTTGGTCATTGTTTTTAATTACATCAACATAAAAGGAACTAATACAGTAAACGATGGTTTTAAAGAGAGGGGAACATGTAGGGTTTTTTAAAACTATTTCAATAGGTCATATTACATTGTAAGGTTTTGTTTGCTTTGTCTTGCTTTGTTTTCTATTTGTTTGCTTGCTTGGGTAGGAGTGAGAGAAGGTCTCATAGCTCAGGTTGGTCTGGAACTTTCTATGTAGTCCAGGCTATACACTGTTTTGTAGCATGGTTTGCATGGTATTACATCCAATAACCATACCCTCAAGTGACAGGCAAATTATCATAAAGCTTTATAATCTGATATCAAAATGTTTCTATTTTAAATATTTATAAAAATAATACTGAAAATGATGTTTGATAGACTTACTGAGTTTTGCTATAAGACAGCAATATATACTATGTCAGTTAAGACTTTTATTTTTGAAGTTTAGAGAACCAGACAAGACGAAAACCTTTTCCTAAAGAGAAAGATCCTAAAACTGCTAAACAAAGTATACAAAGATCTTCCCAGATACACTCAGTGACCAAGCTCGTGAGAAAGCAGATCCCCCATGGATTATATGAAAAGAAACTGAAAATCAGAATGGGCAGCAGGTGCCAATGCCTCAGCTGACCTTCAGACTGTGTTGGTTTGGAAAAGTTACAGGCTATGTGTAATGGCCACACCAAAACAAAAGCAAGGACCCAAAGCCCATGTAACAGGAAAAGGTGGTACCAGTACACTTCCATAAAGTCAGAAACCCTCATAAGCTCCACATAGCCAGCGAAGGGATGGCCTAGGAAACATTCTCTTGTGAGTTTAAAAAAAAAAAAAAGGGCAAGGAAACCTATCGTTCAAGTGAAGGACAATACTCACCCCAATTCAGGATCTGTATATGCAAAAGCTGTATGGTCTCAAGACCCTGAGTCAACAGATTAAAAATTAATGTTCAGGTGCTAGTACCCTCTTTGGGTATCTGGCAGAAACAAATAGAAACTAAGAATCATCAGATAAATACACAATGATATTAGACCCCTGAGTATTTCAGGCAATCAAATAGGATTAGAACTATAAAATAATTTTAATTATTAAAATCATAAAGGAAATAATAGAAACCATGAAACAGAAAACACCATCTTTTAGATGGTGCTGCAGGACCCATGACAACTCAGGCAAGGGCCCAGAGTAGTGTGAGACATAAATGGGAGGCGGGCCAGTCCTAGTCTGGGAACTACTGGAGATTGATTACTGAAGGGTAAGGGAGAGTAGACCTTACTTAGAATCTCTAGATAGGCTGAATAGACTCTAGTGACGAATCTGCACCAAAAAAACACCTGGGTACAAATGCTTGACTGAATAGCATTTAACATGTATGGCAGAATACATGAGGTCTGGCGGGGCAGTAGGGGAAGCATGGATGGGGAAGGAGTATAAATTTGATTAAGAACTGTTGTATGAAATCTACAAAAGCTCCATAAATTTTTTTTAATGGGGGGGGCTGGAGAGATGGCTTAGCAGTTAAGAACACTGGCTGATCTTGCAGAAGACCGGGGTTTGAATCCCAGCACCCACATGGCAGCTAACAACCGTCTTTAACTCCAGTTCCAAGAGATCCAACAACCTCTTCTTTCATCCACGGTCATTGAACGACACGGTGCACTCACCTACATGCAGGCAATACATGCATACACAAAAAATAAAAATAATAAATAAAATAATAAATAAATTTAAAAGATGGTGCTGATTAAAGAAACTACCAAATAGAACTTCTAGGGGGGAAATGTGACTATTAAACTGGATTAAATTATATGTCTTGCTATTTACTCAGTGGAGTTAAATACTGGGATTCATACAAAACCCTTCATGTTTATACCAGCTTTGTTCACGATTGCTAAAAATTGGAAGCAAACAAAACATCCTTCAGTAAGTGAATGGTTAAATCAACTGGTACACCCAACAATGGAATGTTATTCAGTGTCAAAAAAGAAATGAGTTGTCAAGCCATGAAAGGACTTGGATGGGACCCTAAATACATACTTACTAAGTGAAAGAACCCATGCAGAGAAGTATGACTCCAACAATACACCACCCAGGAAAAGGCAAAATAATGTAGATGGTAAAATAGTATCAGTCACCGGAGGTTGGGGCAGGAAGAATGAACAGCTGGAGCCTGCAGGATTGTCTGATGGCCGCACATCACACACTTTTTCCCAACTCACAGACTGTACAACACCAAGAATGAGCCCAGAGTACCACCTGCTCCGGGATGTAAAAGCCGTAAAGAAACCAGGCTCAGGGTTTGAGTTTTGCATGAGGAAACACCACTCAAGTCTGCCAGCAAGAATAAACTCTTTCTGATGTTTCCAGGTGCACCTCTTGGTGCTTTCTCTGTGCGAGGCCGGTCTGGTGCCCGTTTCCCTTAACAGAATCACTTGAGGTGGGAGACTTGATGAGGGATTGTTTAGATTAGGTTGGGCTGCATGCATGCCTGTGAGGGATTTTCTTAATTCAGTTAATTGATGTGGGAAGACCCATCCTGAATGTGGGTGGCACCATTTCATGGGCTGGACCCTAGAGGAATGAAAAGAAGACTTGAGCTGAGCACTGGCATGCACATATTATTTGCTTTCTGCTCACAATTATGTTTGGGGTGTGGCCAGCTCCTTTAACTATTATAGATGATAATCTGGAATTATGAGCAGAACTAAACCCTTTCTGCCGGAAGTTGCTTTTGTCAGGGTATTTTGTACCAGCAACAGAAATGAAAATAAGGCAGGAGGAAAAAGGAAAAGAGGAAGAGAAAGCAGACAGTAGAAACCAGAAAGAGACCAAGCCTCCAGGAGCCTGAACTCTATCTTCAGCTCAGTCCCTGACTGGATCAAGGTGATCTGCCTTCTGTGTAACTTCCAAATGTAGAAAAGACAATATCATCCAATATATCCCAATATGACCAATAAATTGCATATATTATTTAGTATTTACTCAAAAACTACCAGGAATACCAGGTGATAAGACCAAATGACTAAAATCAAAGCAAATTAACAATAAAATTATTACCTCTAAATGAACCCATAAGTAATTAATGAATCAAAATAATTTTATTGTACAAAGAGTTAAAACAGTAGACAGCCAAATCCAGCCCTGCACTGAGTAATGATCTGGTAATCTCCCCCGACCCCTGCCCTGCCAACCCCCTTTCTCAGCCTCTAGACATTTTCCTGGAAACAATGAGACATAAGGAAGTCTGTTGGAAAATGCTCCATAGCTCTTTCCTCCAAGCTGAAACATTCCTTCCTACAGAGAACAGGGAGGCTCCTAAGACTCAAGAAGCCAATGAAACTTATAAGACAGGAAGCTCAGAAAGTTACAAGACTCAAAGGCCTTCCCTGAGGTTATACACATTACCGGGAAGACTCCTCAGTGGCGCTGCCTTCAAATTGGGCATGGAACTCCAGGGATGTAGCCTTTATGAATTGTCACCCATGCATTTTTGGTGATGAGTTGCCTCTGAGTCACACATGCTCTTGTAAATAACCCCAGGAAACTTACTGGGTCACTAGACTTTGGTCAGTTTTGTTGGTGCCGTATCTGAGGTAAATGGACATTTTGTTCATGTCTTTCTAAGGAAAGCCACACAACAGAAGCCTGTAGAACACTTCCTTATTCTTATACCAAAAGGTAGGGGTGAGATATGCCTCTTTCCTCTGTTTTGGACTTTGATTATTACCATATGAAAGGGTACTGCACGGTAGTAGTACAACCAAACTGACAACTGCAAGAACTCAAACCTGACTGCATTAGACTACAGAGGCAGAAAGACCTTAAACCCCAAGGACATTGCTGAATCACTTCAGGTAACCAACTCCTGAATCACCCTCCTGAAAAGCAAAATAATGAGTTTTCTTTATTGATCAAGCTGTTTTTGTACTTGCAATTAAAAGAATCTTCAGCTGATTCTCTTTCTGCTGCACCTATTGATTCTAGATCCAAGCAGACAGAGTGGGTCTCTGCTATCTGTAAGTACCCAGGGAGTCAGAGAATCTAAGGCTTTGGTTTCAGAGTAATGAAGTAGAGAACATTCCAGAAGATGGAATACTGTGATATCAGAGTAAATGAAACATGTCCAAGAAACTCGCATGGTAGCAACTAGACTGGTAGAGGATGAGTTGCAAATAGTATATTAGCCATCATGTATAAAGTTATTAAAAAAATAGGTGAATTAGCACTATATATTTTAAGACAAAGGCAAGTAATATGCTAGAAAACAGATTATAGGAAGCAACTGGCAGCTTCTGTGATAATGGAACAAGAAACTCTATGCAACAGGCCAGAGGTCAACTTATTCGAGTAGTTACAGTAAGCATAAATGGATTCTGAAAAATGTCTTGGCATATACTTGACGAGTATTTGTTTCTTTTCAAAGTATATAAAAATCAAATCCAAAAAAACACAAGATAACAAGCAGTTCTGATGGCTTATATAATTTTTTTTTCTAAAAAGCCCAA